ATTTCACTCAGTCTGACGCACGCTAATATCTTGCCACGTCTCCACGGAGCTCCGTGTTGCTTCCAGCGCCCTCCCCCGCGCTCCCTGCGGCCATGGCCGATGATCCTAGGAAGAGAGGTCATCTGGCTACCGCGAGAGCGACCCAACTCGTCGACATCGTCCGATGATGGTGCCGCAAAGTCAGCCTTCGGAGGCTATCGTGGGGTCGAGCCGGCAGTAGCCGTGACATGTGGTTCCACCACCCCTCGTAGGCTTTGCCTCTGACCGCCACCGTTCCCAGACTGCCTAATGGGATGGAAAGGAAGGCTGGGCGAGCGTATAGAAGCGTGCTCGACCTCGTCGTGGCAACCTGTACGGCAGCGCTGGTAGGCGCGATGAGCGTCGTGCCACCTGACCCGAGACGGGTCGCAGGCGTCGTACCGAGCGCATCGAGACCGTGTCATGATGTGATCTGCACGGGTGAGTCACGTCGGCGTCAAAGGAGCGACGTGTGACCTGTCAGAGCTTGATCTCTGATCTCAGCGGCGTCGAGTCGTCTCTGGCGCGCGACAAAGGTACATACCCAGGACGCGCAGAGGCAGCTGCGATCCGAGATAGAGCTCTGACAGGTCACACGTCGCTCGTTTGACGCCGACGTGACTCTCGCGTGCAGATCACATCATGCAGGGGTCACGATGCTCGTGCTTTGCGCAGACCTCAAATGGAGGGGTTGGAACGCGGACTGTGCCACACTGAATGGCACTAGCCGTTTCTACAGGGGTAGGCAATGAAACGGAGCTTTGCGCCCTTTCCCGCCCGCCTGGGGGGCACCCAGGCCGGCCACCTGATCGGTAGTGGTGGACGGGAGGCGCGAACAGCGCCATCTTGGGGTCTACACGCCGACCAGTGCTCCCGTCAGTGACCAGGAAGAGGGGATGAGTGGACTTCTCAGCCGCCGGCCGCGCGTCCGTGTGGTCTACAGTTAACGAACCAAAAGCCCTGCTTCCGTTTTAACACAAATTGGGTGGCGAACTCGGCGCCCATAGCTCTGGCTCAGGGAGGCGCCGGCGTCTTGGGCCACGGCGACCAGCAGAGCCAGCTGCTGCCGAAGAAGGTCGAGGCTTTGGCTGACCAGCGCGTCGTCGCTGTGTCGGCTGGAGGCTACCACAGCACCGCCATCACCGCCGATGGCGCTCTCTGGAGCTGGGGCGAAGGGACCCTTGGCAAGCTGGGCCACGGCGACCGGCAGAACCAGCTGCTGCCGAAGAAGCTCGAGGCCTTGGCTGGGCAGCGCGTCGTCGCTGTGTCTGCTGGGTCCCTCCACAGCATCGCCCTCGCCGCCGACGGCGCCGTCTTAACCTGGGGCGACGGGCGAGGGCGAAGGCGGCCGCCTAGGCCATGGAGAGGACCTGTCCAACCAGCTGCTGCCCAAGAAGATCGAGGGGTGGGCGCCGGGGCAGTGAGGTGGGTTTGTCTGTGCGCCCGAGATTCTTACGCTTGTGGTGGTGGTTAGGGGGGGGGGGCACTCGAGCGGAGGATGGGAAGGCGGTGCTGACACCAACATGCCATCCTTAGGTAGGCGGCGGCCACGTTCTTTCTTTCTACGGATGTTGAAACGGATTCGCGCACAATCCCACGCAGGAACGGGCCGCCAAAAAGGCAGCGCGCAGTCGTTTTCTCTTCTCGCGATGTCCACCCCACAGCGCCGCTCGCGCCGCCTCGCCGCCGCCGCCGCCGCCGCCGCACGCTGCCCCCTCACCGACCTGCCCCTCGAGCTTCTCGCGCGCGTCATCTCCCGCTTCGACAGCCCCGCCGACATCGCTCGCGTCGCGGCCGTCTCGCTGCTCTTCCACGTCTCGCTTGCGCTGGAGGGCATCCGCTTGTGGGCGCAAGAGCGCGGCTTCGAGCTGCCGGCGCAGCCAGAGGGCGAGAGCTGTGCCGTGCGGTGGCTGTGCCTTTCGGCGCTGCTGCGCGAGTCCAACCCACCGGCGAGGGCAGCGGCAGGCTCCTCGCACAGCCTCTTCATCGTCGGCGAGGGGCGGCTCTCGTCGTGCGGCAAGGCTCTGAGCTGGCAGCCAGGCTTCCTCGGTCACGGCGAGGGCGTGACGCGGCTCAACACGCCGACCCGGCTCCCTTCACCGCTGGGCGGAAAGCGCGTCGTGAGCATGGCGGCTGGAGGTCTGCACAGCCTCACCCTCACCGCCGACGGAGCCGTCTGGAGCTGGGGCAATGGAGGCCCTGGCCAGCTGGGCCACGGCGACCGGCAGACCCAGTGGCAGCCGAAGAAGGTCGAAGCCTTGGCGGGCCAGCGCGTCATCGCCGTGTCGGCGGGAACTTCTCACAGCCTCGCCCTCACCGCCGACGGCGCTCTCTGGAGCTGGGGCAATGGAGCCTTTGGCCAGCTGGGCCACGGCGACCAGCAGGGCCAGCTGCTGCCAAAGAAGGTCGAGGCCTTCGCTGGCCAGCGTGTCGTCGCCGTGTCGGCTGGAGCCCGCCACAGCCTCGCCATCACCGCCGACGGCGCTGTTTGGAGCTGGGGCGGGGGAGACGAGGGCAAGCTGGGCCACGGCGACCAGCAGAACCAGCTGCTGCCAAAGAAGGTCGAGGCCTTCGCTGGCCAGCGTGTCGTCGCCGTGTCGGCTGGAGCCCGCTACAGCCTCACCATCACTGCCGACGGCGCCGTCTGGAGCTGGGGCTGGGGAACCTCAGGCCAGCTGGGCCACGGCGACGAGCAGAGCCAGCTGCTGCCGAAGAAGATCGAGGCTTTGGCTGGCCAGCGTGTCGTCGCCGTGTCGGCGGGATACTTTCACAGCCTCGCCATCACCGCCGACGGCGCTGTCTGGAGCTGGGGCAGTGGCTCCTTTGGCATGTTGGGCCACGGCGACGAGCAGCACCAGCTGCTGCCCAAGAAGGTCGAGGCCTTTGCGGGCCGGCGCGTCGTCGCTGTGTCGGCAGGAGACAACCACAGCCTCGCACTCACCGCCGACGGGGCCGTCTTCACCTGGGGCGCGGGCGGAGGCGGCTGCCTAGGCCACGGAGAGGACCTGTCGAACCAGCTGCTGCCCAAGAAGGTCGAGGCGTGGGCGCCGGGGCAGTGAGAAGCCCGCGCAGTTGGACAAGGAGGGGATGCTCCGGCTTCTCGCGGCGCTCTCAACGAGGAGAGGATTCGGTTCGGCGTCACGGCGGGGCCGAGCCCGAGGGTGGGCGCGGCGGCGGTGGCGGCGGAGGCGACGACGGACGAGGCTGGTGTTGGCTGAGGCCGTCGCCGAGGCGGCGACCGCCGAGGCTGCGGCGGAGGCTAGGGGAGGGGGTGGAGGCGGCGACCGCCGAGGCCAATCGGTCGGCCGTGGGTGGCAGCTCGCGCTGATGCGGCGGCCCGGCTCGGCGTTCGCCCATACACGGAGGGGTGGAAGGAGCGGGGCAACAGGGAGTAGGCAGTAGCCCATGGGCGCCTTGAGAGACACCTTTAAGGGGGGCACACACACTCGAGCCGACGAAAAAGAAATGAAACATACGGGGTGTGGAGGGTGAGTTGAACAGGGGTTGTGCGCCAAGCCCTCCTGCTCGGCTCCAGCCGGTAGACAAGTCTTGTCATCAACAGAGTAGATGGATCTGACCTCGGGGCCGATGTGACCAAGCGCTGGTAGCGTGGTTTGACCTCTCACCCATGGTCTCACAGTGTGCCGGCAGTCGCCGAGCAGTGTCGCTCACACAAGCCGCAGCACAAGTGACTGAGGGCCAGTGAGGGCGAGCCCATCGCTGTCACAGCTGTGACAGCCGCACAGTAGGCTGTGTCAGCTGTGCAGAGTGTGTGAGCAGCAGAGGAGCTGCTCTCCAGGCTTCTGTCGCAAAGAGCTGCATGCCACCGAAAGCGCTGTCGAGGTTCGCCGAGCGCGGCGCAGGTTGGAGGAAGCCGTCACCGACGAGCGCGTTGGACTTTTCACTCCGGACAAAGACGGGTACACGCACACAAGCCGCGGTCGTGTACCCGTCTTAGCGGCGAGGCGCGGGACCGTCTGTGGCGAAGTGGGTCGCGTCCTCCGATTTTGTTGAACCCAGCATCCACACCCTTTAATAGACCAACTCTCCCGTAGCTAAAAGTACGTACGACCAACCTGAAACCTACACCTCATCCATTCGCCTGCGCGACCACAATTCGCGGGTGGCAGCACGAATCATCGTAGCCCTCCACTCTAAGCATCGCTGGCGAATCGTCCAGCGCTGCAAGTTCGAAGAGGCCGGGTGCGTCCCGACGCAGAAGCACCCGTGGGGCAACACCGCCCTTCGGCGCACGGCGAGACAGCTCTCGCAGGGCATCCTCATTCACAGCGTACGCATGTGCGCTGCCAGCGGGGAGGTGAATGCTGAGACGACCAGCGCTCAGCGCCACCTCGCCGTCAGTGCGGCGGCGCACCTCCCGGGCCACGAGGTGGAGGATCACCGACCAGACGTACGCGTCGTGCGGCAGCCCGAGAATCACGTCCGACGAGCGCTGCTGGAGCGCGAGGTCGAGCGATCCGCCTCGGACCGAAAACTGCGCCGAGGATGTGCACGCAGGC